TGTTGGTTTTTTTTTTTTCCTCTGCTACAACTTGAGGCCCTGTTAATTCTCCCAGTTGTAGTAATAGTAGTAGTAGTAGTAGTAGTGGTAGTAGTAATGAATACATTCATACTGGCTAACTCAGTGAGCACTTAGAAGGTGCCAGACACTATTCCAAGACCTACCTGTGTATTAATTCATTTAATGCTCCCAACCATCCTATGGGGTGGGTTCTGTTCTAAGCCCAATTTACAGATTAAGAAAGCAAGCAAGCAGGGAAATAGTTTGCCCAAGGCCAACTAGCTAGAGAGCCCCACCCTCTTCTCCACAACGCTACCCATGTTTCCTGGCAGGTCTCCTCCTTCATGGCAGTGGGGACCTGCTCTACCTTACCCAGCTCAGTGCCTGGCACAGCCCAGCAGCTCTGGGAATCTTTGCTGATCGAATGAATGAGGAGCAAGTGAAGGCTGCCCAGTGTCATGAGCCTACAAAGCTGTTCTTCCCTGCCATCGAGGGGCCAGGCAGAGGTCTCGGGGGTGGCCACACAGAGCAGCCTGAGCACCCTGCCTGCTGCTGCCCAGGAGGCAAGTGAGAACCTTGTCCTTCCCACCTCTGTCCTGCCCCTTCCAGGCTGGGTCTCAGCACTTCACTCCCTAGGAAATTTTCTTCTAAGTTTCCTTCTTTCTCTCTCAAGCCCAAGCTGCTGTCAGGCACTTGCCACCTTCTCCTGTCCCTAGAGAAATATATCTACCTCGCAGCTCATCAGCTAATCACGCTGGGAAAGCAGCCCCTGCAGGCTGGGCCGTGCTGGGATCTGGTCGTTCCTACCCTTCTCACCTCTGCTCGGACTTTACCCCGAAGGGTCTCCTCTTTGCCGGCGACTAACCCATTTTCCTGAACTTTTCAAATTCTCTCCCTACCAAGCTCCACTCTACCTCCTAAATCTCCCTGCTTCCTTTTCAAGCTACCTATTTATTTCCTTCATTATCATTAATATAATTATTTGAAAGTCTTCCAGATTGTTCTATTTTCTCAAAGCTGGGAGACACAAATCCTCCCACTTGTGTTGTAAGCTGCTGTTCACAGGAACTCAGCTCCTCACATGTTTTATAATTTCTGATTGTGCGCTTAAGCTGGGGGCTGTTTTCCTCGTGGATGGCCCAAGTGGCCTGGGTCATGAAAGTTCCCTCCAGACATCATTTTACCTTATTTCTCCTGAGACTACTCCCACCATCACCACCACCATTACTCAATATCCATCCCACTCCAGACCAATTTAAGAATTCCCAAGTTTTGGGGAGCCTAGATGGCTCAGTCGGTTAAGCATCTGCCTTTGGCTCAGGTCATGATCCCGGGGTCCTGGGATCGAGCCCTGCATCAGGCTACCTGATCAGTGGGGAGCCTGTTTCACCCTCTCCCTCTGCCCCTCCCCTGCCTATGAGCATTCTCTCTCAAATAAATAAAATCTTTTAAAAAAAAATTCCCAAGGTTTGTCTGTGGTAAAAAATGCACACCATAAAATTTACTATCTTACCCATTTTTATGCATAGATTTCAGTGGCATTAACTACCTTCACATTGTTGTGAAGCATCACCACATCTGTTTCCAGAACTTTTTCATCTTCCCAAACTGAAACTGTACCCATTAAAAAATGACTCTTCATCTCCCTCTCCTCCAGCCCCTGGAAACTACCATTCTACTTTCTGTCTCTATGAATCTGACTCCTCTGTGTCCCTCATATAAGTGGAATAGTACAATATTTGTATTTTTTGTGTCTGGCTTATTTCACTTAGCAGAATGTCTTCAGAGTTCAACCAACTGAGCCACCCAGGCATCCCAGAATGTCTTCAGAGTTCATCCATGTTGTAGCCTGTGACAGGATTCCCTTCCTTTTTTTTTTTTTTTTTTTTTTTTTTTAAAAGAATTTATTTATTTATTTATTTGACAGAGAGAGATCACAAGTAGGCAGAGAGGCAGGCAGAGAGAGAGAGAGAGAGGGAGAAGCAGGCTCCCTGCTGAGCAGAGAGCCTGATGTGGGACTCGATCCCAGGACCCTGAGATCATGACCTGAGCCGAAGGCAGAGGCTTAACCCACTGAGCCACCCAGGCGCCCTCCCTTCCTTTTTTAAGGCTGAATAATATTTCATTGTATACAAGGATCACATTTTGTTTATCCAGTGTTCATTGATGGCAATTTGGGTCCTTTCCACCTTTTAGCTATTGCAAATAGTGCTGCTACAAATATTGGTGTGTCATTCTCTGTTCAAATCTCTGCTTTAACTTCTTTTGGATATATATCCAGAAGTGGACTTGTTGGATCGTAATGTCACTCTGTCTAGTTTTTCTCAGTAACCACCATACTATCTTCCAGAGTGGTTGCACCATTTTACATTTTCAGCAGCAATGCACAAGTGTGTCAATTTCACTGTATATTTGCCAACACTTGCTATTTTGGGGGGAGCGTTGTTGTTATAATAGCCGTCCTAATGGGTATGAAGTGATATCTTATTGTGGTTTTGATTTGCATTTCCCTAATGACTGGTGACTTTTCACATGCTTTTCACTCACTTGTATATCTTCTTTGGAGAAATGTCCTTTGTCCTTTGTCCATTTTTAAATCAGATTGTTTAGGTTGTTTTATTCTTGAATTGTAGGAGTCCTTTGTATACATTAATCCCTTATCAGATATATAATTTGATAATATTTTCTCCTATTCCATGGGTTCCCTTTTCACTCCATTGATTTCATCCTTTGAGATGAAATCTGATTTTATTTTCTGTTGTTGCCTTTATTTTAGTGTCACACCTAAAAAAATCCTTTCCAAATCCAATATCATGAAGTTTTTCCCTTATGTTTTCTTCTCTTGTTTTGTAGTTTTAGCTCTTATACATAGGGTTCTGATTCATTTCGTGTTGATATTTGTATAAAGTGCAAAGTAAAGGTCCAATTTCTTTCTTTTGCATGTGGCTATCCAGTTTCCCCAGCACAGTTTGTTGAAAAGACTGCCCTTTCCCCTTTAAATGGTCTTGACACCCTTGTCAAAAATCATTTGATCATATATCAAGAGTTTATTACTGGGATCTCTAGTGTATTCCATTGGGCTATGACTGTTTTTATGTCAATACCACACTATTTTGATTGCTGTAGCTTTGAAGTAAGTTTTAAAATCAGGAAATGTGAGACCTCCAACTTTGTTTCTCTTTCTCAAGATTGTTTGGAGTCCTTCAAGATTCCATATGATTTTTTGGGATGGATTTTTCTATTTCTGCAAATACATCATTGGGATTTTGATAAGGATTGCACTGACCCTGTAGATTGCTTTCAGTAGTATTAAGACTTCTAATCCATGAACATGGGATGTCTTTTCATTTATTTGTATCTTCTTTAATTTCTTTTGCCAATGTTTTATAGTTTTAAATGTGCAAGTCTGTTGCCTCCTTGGTTAAGTTTACTCCTAAGTATTTTATTCTTTTTATTGCTATTGTAAATGGGGTTGTTCCCTTAATTTCCTTTTTGAGCTATTCATTGTTAGTTCTAACAGGTGTGTGTGTGTGTGTGTGTGTTGTGTATGATCCAAGTTGTTTTTGTTTTTGCTTTTGTTTTTACCCAGAGATCTGAGCAGAAACAAGTTTTCCTGCCACTTTCAAAGCCAGTGAGTAGGCTTTTTCTAGGTCCCTGTTCACTGAGAGCTCAGGCTCTAAGGATCCCAGCTCAACCCAAGAGTACTGGCTTCGCCTCTTCCCTTCCCTTCCCTTTTTAAGATTTTATTTCTTTATTTGAGAGAGAGAAAGCAAGCATTTAAAACAGAGTGAGAGCACAAGCAGGGCAAGTGGAGAGGGGGAGGTAGAGGGAGAAACAGACTCCCCACCAAGCAGGGAGACGGACTGGGGCTGGATCCAGGACCCTGGGATTATGACCCAAGCTGAAGGCGGATGCTTAACTGACTGAGCCACCCAGGTGCCCCAAGAGTACTGGTTTCAATTTCCTGCCTCATGAAGGCCAGGAACTTGGTTCCTGCCCTTCATGATCATTACAGAGGAAGTGCTTGCCCCTGGGCCTACTTCCCTTCTAATACACTCCCCTCAGAACTCCTGCCACATCAGCTCAGTCATTCCTCTGCTTTTCTGTTCTCTCTTGATTTCTAAAACAGATACATTCTATTTCCTAGATATTCAGAGCAGGAAAGATCCCAGCGTCCCACTTCCAAAAGAGCACCTCAAGCCAATGCATTCACAAAGGGTATGCAGAAGCTAACATTTTATCCATAGTGAAAAGCCCTATTCCAGGATACAACTAGAGTGGGAAACACTGAGGTCTCTTCTCCTGTGGACAGGAGTCCTTCATCCCCTGGGACTGGGAGCTGGCCAAGGCCATGCCCTGTGGGTAGTTGTTGTCTACTGTTTCTGAGTGGCAAGTACCGTCCTGGGCACCTTACATGCATTTGACCTCACTTAATCCTCCTTCCACCCCTGTGAGGTAGGTACTATTACTCCACTGATCTGATTAAGAAAACTGGCAAAAACCCAGTCAGCAAAGGAGCAGAACCAGGATTCAGGTTTTGGTTGGCCTGTCTTTTTTAGCAAATACATCCTGTCTTCCCCCATCCTTCCATAAGCTCCTTCAACCTGCTCAGCTCCTTCAACCTGCTCAAACCTCAGGAGTAGGGTCCACATGGTTTCTGTCCTCATACTTGTCCACAGCATCTAGTGGGTGTGACCTGGGTTACTCTATTTTGCCCCTGAGGACCTGTCCACAACTCAGGAGGGACTGGGGAACACACACAGCACTGGGCCTGAGCCCCTGTTACCAAGAGAAAGGAGGCTTTTGCCAAAGACTCTGAGGGGAGATAAATGCTGGGAGTGGACTCAGCTCTGGTCAGGACCCAAGCACCCAGCCCTCCTGGAGACGCTGTGTGAGCCGGGCCAGGCCTGCAGACAGCCCCTCCCCGCCGTCTCCAGCCAGGGTGGTGCTTGTGTGGGAAGGACTTTAAATCCAGCTGCCAGACCCCTGGCCGGGAGAGGCTGGGAGGACTGGCCACTATGCACGGCTCCTGCAGTCCACTGCTGCTGCTGCTGCTGGCCACCACTGTGAGTCCCACCGGCGCCCTCAGTGATGATGAGAAGCGCGCATTGGTGGAGCTGCACAACCTCTACCGGGCCCAGGTGTCCCCACCTGCTGCGGACATGCTGCATATGGTGAGTGTGGTGGCCAGGGGCCACTCACCTGCCGGGACTGACGGGGTGCTGGGCTGGGTCCCCCAATTCCTCCCACCCCCAAGCTGAAGCTATCTCCAAGACTCACCTCTCTGATCAGTGACAGAGACATTATGTAATTCACAGGTTCCCAGAAGCAGCCCCATTCTACAGATCAGGAAACTGAGGCTCAGAGGGACTTACTGCTCCCTCCAAGTCACACAGCTGGTAGAGCCAGGCCTGGGAGTCCCCAGCTTCCCACTCAATGGTCCCTTCCCCAGCACTTCCTAAAATGCTGATGCACCTCATAGGGGGGACATAGGAAATTCCTAACACCTTGGTGAAGATGGTCTTTCAGATGCCTTCCAAGGCAATGAGGAGAGGAAACAAGGGGAGTAGGAGGTCCTGGCATGAGGGTAGGAGGGATGTATAAGGAGGTGGGAGAGAACAGGAATCAGAAGCAGAGAAGGCTCAGCATTACACAGCTGCCATTCTGTCTCGGTCATACGACAAGACCTGCGATTTGGGGTGGGTCCCTTAACCTAGTAAGGACTGTCAGTTTTGCATCTGTAAAATGGGTCACCATTAGAGCTACATGGACTATATGGCAACAAGGACTGAATCTCCCAGATAGAACACTGATGGGGTCTGGGGATGAAATCTCAAGAAATATATGTATAGGAGGGCACATTTACATAAGGTTTAAAAATAGGTAAAAACTACTACTGCATACTTGTGGGGACACATGCAAATGTAGTAAAGATACAGGGCCATGCTTACAGGTGATAGAAGCCAGATTTGGGGTAGTGGTTACCTCTGTCGAGAGGGAGAGTTATTTGACAGTAGGGTTAGGATGGGATGTTTAGGTTCAAGATGAAAAGAGAGAAAGGGCGCCTGGGTGGCTCAGTTGGTTAAGTGACTGCCTTTGGCTCAGGTCATGATCCCAGGCTCCTGGGATCCAGCCCCACATCAGGCTCCCTGCTCAGTGGGGAGCCTGCTTCTCCCTCTCCCCCTCACGCCGCTCATACGCTCCCGCTCCTTCTCTCTCTCTCTCTCCCAGTCTCTCTTGCTCTCTCAAATAAATAGAATCTTTGAGGGGCGCCTGGGTGGCTCAGTCATTGAGCGTGTGCCTTCAGCTCAGGTCATGATCCTAGAGTCCTGGGATCGAGTCCCGCGTCGAGCTCTCTGCTCAGTGGGAAGCCTGCTTCTCCCTCTCCCTCTGCCTGCCTCTCTGTCTACTTGTGATCTCTCTCTGTCAAATAAATAAATAAAATCTTTTTTTAAAAAATAGAATCTTTGAAAAAAAGAGAGAGAGAGAATCAGAAATTTACCTCCTTCCTGCTCTCCCAGAGGGCTGAGCCAGCCCATCCTCTCCAGTGACCCTCGGGTGCCCTGGGAGGCTCAGGAACAAGGTCCAGGGATCCCATAGCTAGTGCCCCAGAGCAAGGTCACACCTGGGGGAATACAGCAGCGCGCCTGAGGGCCCAGGATTGGAGTTCCAGCAGTTCTGCTCAATTTGGCCAAGTGACTCTGGGTGGTTCCTTTTACCTTCTAAGGCTTCCATTTCCTGATCTAGCACTTGTGACTGGCAATCCCTGCCCTGAGGGTAGACAGAAAGATCAAGGAACGCCTCTAGAAATGCACTCAGCACCACCATTCAAGCCCTGTTGCCTGGCAACCAGGAACTACGGACAACAGACCCGTTGCACTGGATGCTGGTACCAGCTCTGCCAATAGCTCCCTGACTGAGGCCTGGAACACAGTGCTGAGCCTCAGTTTCCCCATTTGTAGGTCCCTGATGCCCTTCAGTCTTGTTGGCTGAGGCTGGGGTTACCCACCCAGGAGCTGCTTTGGGGACAGAGGTGGACCCTGGTGGTGAGGTGACATTCTGGGAAGCAGTTTGGATACTCAGGGGTTATGCTGCGGTCCGGTGGGAAGTGATGGGAGGAGGGGACAGACTGGGACACTGGGACAAATATGAACAAGCCTCAGCCTCAACCTCAGGAGTGGTAAATACAGAAACTGTGGGGCCAGGTGGCTTCATTCAAATCTTGATTCTACCATTTATTAGCTGCGTGTCCTTTGCTATGTTACTTAACCTCTCTGTGCCTCAGCTTCCTCATCTGTAAATTGAAGATGATGACAATATAGTAAGTCCCTTGTAGGTTGTGAGGGCTAAATGAGTGAATATGTAGAAAGCATTTAGAACAGTGTGTGGCATGCAGTAAGTATTACACAGTATTTGATTAACAAAAGAGGGAATGGATCCAGGGTAAGGCCGGTGGCAGTTATCATGAACTCTTTTCTCTCCCTTAGCTATCACATCTAATCGTCACCATCTTTACCTTCCAGAAGGTTCCATTTTCCTTGAATCCTACTCCCCCATCCTTGTCCCTAGATACAACTTTCATTACTTCTCCCAAGGACTCCTAGAAGAGCCTCTACCTGCTTCCTCAGCCTCTGGCCTCCACTGCCCAAAATGAACAATCCAATACACAGGCTTGACCTTGCTCAATACTCTTCAATGGCTCCCACTGGCTCCTGACAGCCTCAGGATAAAGCTCCAGCTTCTGAGAAGGCTCTCTCTATGTGTCTGGCCCCTGCTGATGGCTCCAGCCTCCTCTCCTGCTCAGTTTCTCCATCTATAACCTCAACAGCTTGTCCTTCCCCAGCCAAAACACTGTCTCTCACTTCTGTGCCTTTGCTCATGCTGTGCCTTCTGTTCCCTCCACTTGACTAATGCCGCCATTACATTAGCTTAGTGCCTCCTTCTCTGCCCTCAGGTTGGGCTAAATGGCCCTCCTCAGTGCCTCTACACCACCCATTGCAAATCTGTCACTGACCACATCGTGACCCAATCAGCAGTTTATGGCAATGTGAACTTGGGCTTCTCGGTCCTTTCTCTTAGCTCCAGGCTAGCACATTGCCCCGGACTGCTGAATGAGTGAGTGAATGAATGAACTTGTTTTCAGATAGTGACCATATGGCCAGTGTGGGTGGGTGCCGTGACTCTCAAAAATCCCTGTGGTTTCTGGAAGACTGAGAAGCCTTGAGACCCACAGAAATGACTCTGCTGGTGGGACTCCATGCATCCAGTCGGAATAGGAATCCAGCCAGGCTCTGTAGGGAGACTGCTTAAAGCAGAGTCTGTCTCAGTCATCAACAGCAGACAAATGTCTACTGAGCACCTGCTATGCGCCAGCACTGTGCCAGACACTGGGACCACATCACTGTCTTACCCCAAAGGAGCTCACGCTTCAGTCTGGAGCCCTGCAGGTCATCCCGGACCCCCCAATCCTAGTCCCCCACAGCCTGCTGCATTCCCACTCCCCAAACCCGCTTACTACCAGAGTCTAAGCAAACTGCAGGGAACAGGGACAAAACACCCAGGGAGGGAAAGAGATTCACCGCTGTCACAAAGTGGGGCGGTCCCAGCCCTATGTTCCCATCCGCACTCCCAGGCAGCTGTTCCCGAGAACCGTGTGTGGGTGAGGAGCCACACTATCCCTTCCTCTCACGGTCACCCAAGCTCCTGGCGCTCTGGAGGCTGTCTGGCTCCCACAGCTGGCTGGGCCGCCAGAGGGTGGAGCAAGAGTTGTTGCCAGGCCATCCATTTCTCTAGGAGAAGCCAAGGACAGAGCTTAATGGGATCCAGGCCTTTCTCATCAATCCTTTGTTAATCCTTCTTCCCACCCACACTGGGCCTGTCCTCCCAGCCAGGGACACACAGAACCTCAAAGGTCCCTTAACCTAACATGCTCCCTCCTGCTGCCTCACCTGAGGTCCCCCCTGGAGAACACTGCCTTTGGGAACTGACAGCTCCTTGAGACACCACACCTCTGAAAATAGGCCTCTTGGTGAGGGTCACGCGGAGACACAATCTTTTTGGGGAAAGGGTTTTTTAGCTGACAAGGGTTGAGAGCACCTGGGAGGGAAGCCTGGAAATGGTAAAGCCGTGGAGGCTGGGTGACCCCAAAGGGAGAGTGGGACCTGAGAGGGGAATGCTGGCCCCCCCAAGTCATATTTATGGTGTGTGTGGGTAAGGGGGTGGAGGATAGCAGGATAAATAATGCAGCCCTTGAACATCTCATTGGAAATTCTGGGGTCTTTAGAGCAGTCAGGTGGCCCTGGGAGGTAGGCAGGGCACAGCTGCCCTCCTTTCATATAGAGGGATATTAATATTAATTAATGATAACACTGTCACAAACATCATCTAATTTATTCTTCACGAAGCCCCATGAGAGTTCAGAAAGGTTAGGCAATCTGTCTAAAATCACACAGCCGGTAAATGGTCCCAAGTTTAGCCAACTCCATGGCCTGGGGTGGAACCCTCCCAGCATCCCCGCAGAAGCCCACCAGGAGCATAGGCCTATTCCTGATCATGGCCAAGAGTTACCCAGCAGGAAGGGAAGGTCTCCGGCCTCCAAAGGCCTCCAGGACACCTTTAAACTTCTTCTTTAATCCCCAGAGTCGGGGGCATTCCCACCTCCCTCTCCCACCCACCCCCACTGTCTCCACTGAGCCCGAGGCCAGGCGTTGCTCACCTCTCCGACCTGTCCCGCAGAGGTGGGACGAGGAGCTGGCTGCCTTCGCCAAGGACTACGCGCAGCAGTGCGTGTGGGGCCACAACAAGGAGCGCGGGCGGCGCGGCGAGAACCTGTTCGCCATCACGGAAGAGGGCATGGACGTGCCGCTGGCCATGGAGGAGTGGCACCACGAGCGCGAGCACTACAACCTCAGCGCGGCCACCTGCGACCAGGGCCAGATGTGCGGCCACTACACGCAGGTGCGTGCCCGCCGGGTGGGCGGGGCTACACAACTAGTGGGCGGGGCCGCACGAGCCGTGGGCGGGGTGGGCGGGGTGGGCGGGGTGGGGCAGGGGCTGCCTCTCCCTTTCCCCGCTCCAAGATCAGGCAGCCCCCACTCTAAGCCCCCGAGACCCTTCGTAGAAGTTTTGACAGGAGCTCCTGTGTTGTCCAGGCCTCTGACGAAGCCTGCTTCTCAAACTGCCTAAACGGTTTTCAGGTGACTCTGGAAGAAACACAATCGTTTGAAAATCTAGATGGCCTCTCTGGGCGTCATCCTACTGAAGGGGCCTGAGTTAGGTGTCGCAGAGCCAGTGTCGTGGATGATTATTGTGCTAGGCAATACTGACCGACCTCTAAGCGGTCCTGTCCTCCGGCCTCAAGCAGGACTGTGCCCCGCGGTAACTGCCCCCGACTTCTGGCTTCTCACTGTCCCTCTTCCGTCATTTCTCATGGTGTCTGCTTCTAACCTGCCAGGGACCGATATAGCAAATAGACAATTGTGTGTGTTTAAATTTTCTTCTGCTTTTAAAAGCCATGTGTAAAATAAGAGCAAATCGTCACCCAGTGAAGGTTTCAGGAAACCTTCGAGATCATTCTCTGCCCCTCCAAGTCACTTCTTGCTTATGTCAGGGTTCTCACTGCACTTTGAAAGTTGGAGTTCCAGATAAGAGATTCTGGGTGCGGGTGCTGTAGGGGTGTGTATACGTGTAGGGGAATTAACAGTAGTGTTATTGAATTCTTGTTCTTCTCCACCCAATGCTTATTGTTCAAACAATAACAGAACAATTTTTAAAAAAAAAGAAAAAGGAAGATCAACCTTCTTCCCACCCATATCCACCAATTCCACTTTCCAGTGCTTCTTTTGAGTGGTATTTTTAGTGCCAATCTTTGGGGAAGGAAATCTTGACATCATCCATCCAGATGAAGAAGTTGTGAGGGCCCAGCAGCCCTTCCCTGTCCCCTCCCCTCCATACCCTCCCACCTCTCACACCCACTGCCACCCCCAAAACACACACACACACACACACACACACACACACGTCCTCCTGCAAAGATTGCTGTCAGCGCCTGGCATGCTCAACAGTGGTGTATCCTCAGCTAACTTAAGCAGGGGAAAAAAAAAACAGTCTGGGGGATGTATGCAGAATTAGTTGCTGGAGCCAGATCTCACAACAAAAACTTGCCTCCGTTTGAGTGACTACTGAGCAGACCCGGCTAGAAATAGCAAGGAGAGTCTGCTGGTATCAGTCCATGGTGGTGCACAAAGGCTGCTTTGATTTTTAAATTTTATACTTAAGACAGAATTCGTTCTAGCAGGTAGGAGACCCAGACTTAGAAACAGCAGAGCAGACCCCTGCTCATTTGTGAAGCGGGAGGAAGTTCTATGTTCAAAATGGTTCCTTCTGTTCTCTTCCTTGGATTTTGTTTGTTGCTGATATCTAAGATTCTCTCGTTTGAGATTCATTCCTTTAGATATACCCCTTGTTTAAAATGCACAGGAAGTTGTAAAAAAAAAAAAAAAAAAGATTCGCAGGAGGAATTCATGAGGGTATATACAAAGGGAATTTTTTTTCAGAGAAAAGCCTGGTGAAATAGTGTGTGTGGTTCAGGACAAATTCTTCCCAAACCGCCTGTTCACAGTTGTGCCTGAAGCTCAGTGTCCTCAGAGACTTGGATCTGACAGGTTGTAGGGATCCTCCCCTCCCCACCCATACAAGACTGGTGTCCCACCCAGGCTAAACTGTTGGGTCTGCCCTTCTTCAGGTGGTCTGGGCCAAGACGGAGAGGATTGGCTGTGGCTCCCACTTCTGTGAGAAGCTCCAGGGTGTTGAGGAGATCAATATCCAGTTGCTGGTTTGCAACTATGAGCCCCCGTGAGTGCCCAGGGAGCCCTGCGGGTAGAGGATGGGCACAGCCAAGTGGAGGGTTGAGCTGGGCAGTCTAAGAATGTGGGAGGGGGCTAATCTGGGGCCTGAACCCCATACTCTTGGGGGAGCTGTGAGGGAATCGATGGGAATCTGCTCTCATCCGCCCGGCAAGCTAGTTGGGTGCAAGACCCAGGGGTACTTCCGACACAGGTATGTGTAGGAGGGATCGGGACAGGGGTTTGTAGGAACTGCCCCGCCCTCAGCATCGTCCTCGCCTCCCGCAGGGGGAACGTGAAGGGAAAGAGACCCTACCAGGAAGGGACTCCGTGCTCTCTATGTCCCTCTGGCTACCGCTGCGAGAACTCCCTCTGTGGTGAGTTGGGGGTGGGGTGGGGAGGAGTAGGAAGGGACTGCAAGGGACTTAGAGCCTCCAAGGACTCCCGGAGCCGGTGCACCGGCTGGGGCGAGGAAGGGAGAAGGGGGGGAAGGGAAGGGCTGGCGAGACTTGTCCCTCGGGGACCCTTTGCGGGCCCACTCTCTCCGAGTTCCCAAGCCCACTTCGCCTTCCTTGCGCAGTCACTTTGGCGCCCAGTCATTTAAAGTGACCGGATTTCAATCCTCGGAGCGAAGGGTAGAGGACAGAGGCCCTCAAGAGGCGGGCGAGGTGGGCGTGGCCAGAGGATAGGGCTCCCCCGGGGTGGGGGGGGCTAGTGGTGGGCGTGGCCAAGTGTCCTTAAAGGGGACAAGCAAGGGAAGCGGTAGACTTGATAGGCACAGGCATCTAGCTGGAGAGTCCCCTGAAAAAGTGGTTGTGTGAGTGCCGAGAGGAAGATTTGGACAAGGAGGTGGATAGAGAAGACATTGTTTTAATGCTACAATAAAATAACAACGTTATAATAAAATAATATTACCAATGAAGGATATAGTCGCTGGAGGGGATGTGTGTTTGCTTGTCATCGCAGGACATTTGGTCGCCTCGCCTTGACTGTGGTGGGGTGAGAAAGGTGGAGTTCCGCTATAGCACTAAGGCAGGGCCTTGTTTCTTGTCAGAACCCATCACAGACCCAGAAGAGGCTCAGGATTTGCCTCACCCGGTAACCGAGGCCCCAGCTTCCCAGGCAACCCAAGCTTCAGGCTCTAGGAAAAGCAGTGTCCCTTCTTTCCTGGCAACGGAAACTCCATCCTCCTTGGTAACAGAGGTCTCAGGCCCCCTGGCAACCACGGCTCTACCTGCTGCAGGAACCGAGGCCCCATCTTCCTTAGCAACGGAAGATTCCCTCTCCATGGCAACAGAGGCCTCACCTTCCTTAACAACTGAGGTCCCTTCCTCCTTGGCAACTCACAGCCTGTTCTCCCTGGATGAGGGGCCAGCTACCTTCCCCAAATCGACCCATGATCCCATATTCAAATTGGCAGACAAAGAGGCCAGCAGGACAATAGTGCCTTCCAAGAGCCCAGACAGTCCTCTGCACCCCAAGATGTTCTTGACAGGGACACGGGAGCCACTGCCCCACTCCCAGAAGGTGGGCAAGGCTGAGGCCGAGTTGCCTTCTTCCAGTGAGGTCTTGGCCTCAGTTTTTCCAGGCCAGGACAAGACAAGAGAGCTGCCAGCCACACTGGACCACATGGGAAACACTTCCTTCAAGTCCCCCAATGCCTCTGCCAGTGCTAAGGCTCTGGGTGGGCGCACCCTGGCTCTGCAGTCATCTTTGCCTGGTAAGGCATGTAGTGTCTTCCCACCTTCTCTCCTTGTCGCCAGAAGGTCATCATCCTGCCCCCAGCATCAGTGTTGTGGGCTGTACCCACTGAATAAGAGCTTCCTCCCTGGCTGCTGGGCCCCCACTTGCACGCCTGGCAGGGAAGGTGGGAGGTCAGGCAGAACTGTGTCCATGCTGAGACAAAGCCTCTCCCTCCCTACAGGTGCAGAGCCTAGTGTCAATTCAGGGCTGAACTCGGGCCCTGGTCACATCGGGGGCCCCCTTCTGGGACTGCTGTTGCTACCTTCCCTGGTGCTGGCTGGAATCTTCTGAAGGAGTCACCACTCAAAGGCAAGGGCTGGTGGGGAGACCCTGGCCTCATGCCCATTCTGGATCATCTCTTCTCCAAGTAAGAGGCCACAGTTTCCTGGGCAGGTCCTGCTCTGTGGCCCAGGAGCCCCCCCTTGACCCCAGCTTCTGGCCAGACTCCAGGCCAGTGACCTCGTCCCCTCAGGAGGACTCTGTAATACCCACTCCTGGCACTGCCCCAGGAGTGCCTCTGCCTCTGTGGAGGTCCAGGCCTCAGCTAGCTGCAGATTGTTCTGGGCAGTGTTCCTGCGGCCACCTGTGCTCAATCTCCAGTAGTCCTGTGGCCGTGGTTTTGCTCTTCCAGGATCAGAAGATCTCAGTGCTTCCCTGAAACCCTTTGATCCCTCCTCGTCCCCTGGCTTCTTCCTTAAGCCATCGGAGTCTGGGGCTGTTCCCAGGAGTACCTCCTGCCTTCCCAGGCTGAAGAGGTCAGCTGTCCTCCCCATCGTCTCCCCACCACCCTGCCTCTCCACCAAAGATGCTTCTTGGCTGAAGGCCCTCTGGATGGGCAAGGCTGCAGGGCCTGTGCCTCGTCTGCAGACACACTGTGGGGGCACGAGGCCGGCCACCTGGCCCAGACCCCTCCTGCCCCTCCCATCTCATTCCCTGGGTGGGTGGGGATTCAGGGGAGATCCCTGCCTACCAGGCTTGGGACTCTGCCTCTGCAGGTAGCTGGTTCTCCCTGAGTGCCCCCTCCCCCTACTTGCTGGTGTAGCTGGGGAGGGGGGTTATGAGGGGCAGAAGGACAAGCTCCAACTGAATGGCGTTCTACATGGAGGCAGCGGGGGTGGGGGGGCAGGCAAGGACCAGGGAAGGGAAGCAGTCCCTGACTCCCGAATAAAGCCTCTGGAAGCGTACTGAGTGTCTATGCTTATGAAGACTGGTGGGTGAAGGGGGGCTCTTGGAGAGGCCCTGAAGAGGTTCCCTTCTAGCCCCCAGCACCTGCTCCATCTTCTACCCACCTCCTCTCCCTACACCCTCCACCTAGTCCTTTGGGGCAACTTTCTTTTCCTTCCTCTAAACTGACCCCCTCCCCAACTCAAATCTTTAGGCAGCCAGCAGGAAAGAGTGAGGGCCAAGGGCTGACTCCCCCATCTCCAGGGGTCACCGGTGGAGGCTTCGTTGGGTTTTAGACCCCAAATCAAGGAGAGGCACACAGCCTTTTTACAGGGTGCTGCTGCCCAGGCCCAGCCAGAGACTTCACCAGCCCTGGGCGCTTGGAGGTGTCCCGAGGAAGGGTTCTGGAGTCCCAGACACACTCCCCTAGGGGAGCACAGGACTGTGCAGGGTGCTGCAGGGTGGGAAAGCACCAGTGTGTGTCTGTGTGTGTGAGCGTGTGTGTGTGTACACGCGTGTAGGGTTAGCAACAGTAGGTGACTGAGGGTGGGCAGCTTGCGACCGAGGTGGGGCTGGTGGGGATGGGCAGAGTGACAGTCTCCAGGTCAAAGCTGGAATGGGAGCAAACAGGAAGCTTGCAAGTCAGGGTGTGTGTGTGTGTGTGTGTGTGTGTGTGTGTGTGTGTGTGTGTGACATAACGTATTAAGAGACAACCTAATGATATAAATTAGGATATAACTCATGTAAAATTCACCCATTTAAAGTGTACCATTCAATGGTTTTTAGGATGGCGCAAGCACCAGTAGTCAGTTTTAGAACATTCCAACACCCGAAAAGAAACCCCATCCCCATTAGCAGCCCCTCTCTGTTCCCCCTCCACCCCAAGCCCGAAACAACCACTAGTCTAGTGTCTCTACGGAGTTGTGTGTTCTGACATGTTGTATAAATGGGATCATACAGTAGGCAGCCTTTTCTGCCTGGCTTCTTTCACTTAGCATAATCTTTTCTAGATTTATCCATTAGGTAGCACATGACAGTACTTTATTCCTTATTCCCTTGTATAGAATACATTTTATTTATCCATTTGTCAGTATCATAGGGTAACGGTCACTCTGTGGTGAACATTTTTTTAGAACTGCCACACTTCTTTCCAAAGTGGCTGCACCATTGCACATGTGCACCAGCAACGAACGAAGGTTTCCATTTCTCCACATCTTCGCCAACACTCATTATCTGTCTTCTTAAAATTACAGCCATCCTAGTTGAGTGTGAAGTAGTATCTCATTGTGCTTTTTGATTTTCATTTCCCTGATGGCTAACGATGCCAAGCGCATCTTTCCACGTGCTTTTTTACTGGCCTTGTCTATGGAGAGAGGTCTATTCAAGTCTTTTGCCCATTTTTTAAAAAATATTTTATTTAATTAATTAATTAATTTTATTTTATTTTTTTAAAAGATTTTATTTATTTATTTGACAGAGATCACAAGTAGGCAGAGAGGCAGGCAGAGAGAGGAGGAAGCAGGCTCAATGCCAGGACCCTGAGATCATGACCTGAGCCGGAGGCAGAGGCTTTAACCCACTGAGCCACCCAGGTGCCCCTTTTTGCCCATTTTTTAACTGGGATACTTGTCTTATTGTTATGAGTTGCAGGAATTCTTTATGTAGTCTAAATACAAGTCCCTTATCAGATATGTAATTTTAAAACATTTTCTCATTCTGTGAGTTGTCTTCTCTATTTTTCTTTAGGATATCCTCTGAACGCAGTCTTCAATTTTGATGATATCCAATTTATTTGTTCTTTTGTTACCGTGCTTTTTGGTGTTACATCTAAGAAACCATTGCCCGATCTGAGGTCACAGAGATTTGAGCCTATGCTTTTTCTAAGAGTTTTATAATAGTTTCATTTCTTGTCTTTATGCCTTTGATCCATTCTTAGTTGATTTTCATATGCGGTGTTAGGTGGTTGCCCAAGTTCATTTTTTTTTTTTTAAGATTTTATTTATTTATTTGACACACAGAGAGAGATCACAAGTAGGCAGAGAGGCAGGCAGAGAGAGAGGAGGAAGGAGGCTACCCGCTGAGCAGAAAGCCCGATGCGGGGCTCGATCCCAGGACCCTGAGACCATGAACTGAGCCGAAGGCAGAGGCTTTAAACCACTGAGCCACTCAGGCACCCCCCCCAAATTCATTCTTAATGCATGTGAATATCCAGTTGTCCAAGAACTTTTTGTTGAAGGTGATTCTTCCTCCATTCACTTGTCTTGTTTCCTTTGTCCACAATCAATTGACCTTAAATGTCAAAGTTTACTTCTGGACTCTCAATCCTGTCCCATTGATCTCTATGTCTATCTTATGCCAGGATCACACCATCTTGATTATCGTAACTTTGTAGGGCATTTTGAAATTGTGAAGTGTGTGTCCTCCAATTTTGTTCTTCTTTTTCAACATTGTTTAGGTTATTTTGGATCCCTTGAATTTCCATTTGAATTTTAGTGCCAGCTTGTCAAATTTCTGCAAAGAAGTCAGCTGAGATTTTGACAGGAAACTATGTATTCTGCCACCTAGGTCTTCCAGTCCATTAACAAGGGTTATCTTTCCATTTATTTAGGTCCTTATTTTTGTTTAACAATATTCTGTAGTTTTCAAGGTATAAACTGTGTGGGCTTTTTGTTATATTTGTTCATATTTTATTTTTGATGCGATTATAAATGAAATTGTTTTATTAATTTTATTCTTTGTTCATCTGTGAATGTAAAGTATGATTGATTTTTATGTATCAATTTTATATTCTATGCCCTTTCTGAGTTCATTTATTAGTTACAACAGTATTTTTAGTGGATTCTTTAGGATTTTTTTTTTTTTTAAAGATTTTATTTATTTATTTGACAGAGAGAGATCACAAGTAGAGAGGCAGGCAGAGAGAGAGAGAGAGTGAGAGAGGGAAGCAGGCTCCCTGCTGAGCAGAGAGCCTGATGCGGGACTTGATCCCAGGACCCTGAGATCATGACCTGAGCCGAAGGCAGCGGCTTAACCCACTGAGCCACCCAGGCGCCCCTTCTTTAGGATTTTTTAAAAAACATTATTTATTTGAGAGAGAGAGAGAATGAGCAGGGAGGAGGGGCAGAGGGAGAGAGAGAAGCAGGCTCCCCGCTGAGCAGGGAGACCCATATGGGGTTCGATCCCAGGACCCTGAGAGCATTACCTGAGCCAAAGGCAGAAGCTTAACTGAGCCACCCAGGTGCCCCAGAATTTTCTATCTACAAGATCATGTCATCTGCAGAAATAGTTTTACTTCTACCTTTCTAACCCTGATAACTTTTATTTCATTTTCTTGCCTGACTGCCCTGGCTGGACCCTCCAGGACAATGCTGAGCAATGGCAAGAGCAGACATCCTTGTCTTGCTCTTGATCTTAGAGGGAAAAAATCAGGATGTTCATCATTCAGTCTAATGTTAATTATGGGTCTTTTGGAGATGCCATTTATCTGGGTGAGGAAGTTATATTCTTAGGTTTTTGAATGTTGTTGTCATGAAGGAGTGTTGAATTTTGTTGAATACTTTTTCTGTGTCTATTGAGATGGTCATACGCTTTTGCTTCTTCTTCTTCTAAGTATAGAGAGTATGATGTTTTTCAGAGGATGACCCAACTTACGATCCTGAGCACCGGGGTCCCTCCCTTCCTGGGCCTGTATTCTCAAGCTAGCCCTAGGTCATGTGAGGGAGTCAGGTGAGGCTGCCTCTGAGTGGAGCAGGCCAGAGATGGGCCAAAACATGGGCCAAACCCATCTTTTCTGGTTTTGGGGTGAGCTCTGCTTGCCTCCTGAAAAGCAAGAGCATCTGTGGCCAATCTTCAGGACACCGTCACATGAAGAGAACCCACCTAAGACCAGAAGCAGGGACCTCTTTGGAAGTTCATTTTTGGGGAAACAAGACATGGTGTCCCATGTCTTGTTGTCAGGCAAGGCTGTGACAAATGGGCAGAGAGGGGACGTGTCAGCACAAGCCCATGGTAATTAGGAGGGCACGTTCAGAGGGGAGGGTGGCTGGCACTTCGAGGCTTCAAGGACCACAGTGGGGAGCACTCTGCTCCAGCACTCTGCCACACAGCTCTCAGGCATCTGGGGACTGGCAAAGCAACAACGGCTACACTAGGACCCAGCAAAGGCCACCACTACCAACGCAGGCTTCACCACAGGGGGCCCCAAAAGGCCTACCAAAGGACTCCCTAGCTTTGTCCATCAGAATTGCTTTTTCCAGGAGGAGTGGATGGAGACTAATTGCCCATGAGGACATTCCCACTCCTGTCACCCCTCCTTTTGCTGACGGCTCAGCTCCCTTCCTACCCCAGTCCAACTCCATCTCCTTTCTCAGCTAAAAACCCTGCCACTCTAGTTTCCAGGACTTGACAGTGAAATACCAGGTGCTCCAACGGTAGGTGAGACCTCAGCCCT